TGTACACATGTAACCTAAGTGGCACATTGTGACAGTTTCTCTGTTGGTCTTTGCAGGATCCGGCACTGAGTCGGACAGCGACGACTCAGTCCCTGAGCTGGAGGAACAGGACTCTGCACAGACACAGACACAGCAAGCTCAGGTGAGACTTGAGTCTGTTTTATTGTGTTCACTGGTATAGATGTCCGTCATTGACTCTTCACTGATGATTTACACAGTGACTTTCGTTCTTCTGAGCCTACTGAAGCCAGCCTTTCTGTCCTGAGAAGAGATGAATATAAAACGTATCTAATCGCTTATTCTGCATTTACTCGTTGGTGTAAAACACTTAATGTAAATTCTACTTTAGCTTGCAGCAGCTGCCGAAATAGATGAGGAACCTGTCAGCAAAGCCAAACAGAGCCGCAGTGAAAAGAAGGCACGAAAGGTAACCGTCCCAGTTCACTCAGTGCTCTATAAACATTCTGTACGTCTAAAGATTAGATTTGGTAAATTTACTTCCATTTCTTTCAGGCAATGTCAAAGCTTGGTCTCAGGCAGGTAACAGGAGTCACTAGGGTCACCATTCGCAAGTCAAAGAACATCTTGTTCGTCATCACCAAACCAGATGTCTACAAGAGCCCTGCATCAGATACATACATCGTCTTCGGGGAAGCTAAGGTAACGCGCCAACAACAATACCAGTTGTCAGGGTTTGTCAGTAGAGCTGCTGAGTGTGTGTAGTCTTAGCTTTGTGTAATGCAGGCAAATGGATTCCATCACCGCATTCATAAGCTAAATATTTTTGCTAAATGATGTGCTGACCTCTTAACTTCCTCACTGCTTTCCTCAGATTGAAGATCTTTCCCAGCAAGCCCAGCTGGCCGCTGCAGAAAAATTCAAGGTCCCGGGAGAAACTGTATCAAACGTCCAGGAAAACACACAGACGCCAACAGTACAGGAGGAAAGCGAAGAAGAAGAGGTGAGATGCAGTTTAGTCAAGTGAAGATGGGCATGGCTTTGTGTTGGAGAGATGATTAATGTTTGCATTGATTATTTTCATAGGTTGATGAGACCGGAGTTGAGGTCAAGGACATCGAACTCGTCATGTCACAAGCCAACGTGTCGAGGGCGAAGGCTGTACGCGCCCTGAAAAATAACAACAACGACATCGTCAATGCCATCATGGTGAGATTTTAACTATCTATCAAAACAATTTAAACACTTTACTCTCCAGCACTCTTAAGTGATGATTTAACACAGTGACTTTCGTTCTTCTGAGTCATATGAAGCCAACATTTCTGTCCTGAGAAGAGAGCAAAGCTTTAAAATTATATCAGCTAATATTTACACATCCACTGACTTTTGCTTTTGCTGCTTTGCAGGAGTTGACAATGTAATGGGGACCCTGTCGACGAAGAGTTGACAAAAGGTTGCTGATTTAATCCAAACTCATTTATACAATTTATACCCAAGATGGAAATAAAGTTGTGGCTTGATGAAATTAAATTTTGTTTCGTTTGTGGTTCTTTAGTGGGGAAAATGGAGCTCTGCTATATGAGCAAGTGTAATTATTAGTCTGGTTAAGGCCGGGATAGAGTCACAGTCCTAATCTGGAAAATGTATATATGTAGTGTAGGTTCATTCACAGATTTTTATTTTTTCCTCTCCTGTCTTCTTACTAAGGCCCAGCATACAGACTGCAGGTTAGGTTTAAAGCTGTTACAGTGCTAACAGCACAGAGGTATAATAGAGACACTAGTTTTATTTTTCATTTTGTTTTGCAGTAAAAATCTGAAAACTTGACTGTAGAAGAATGTTGGTGTTTTATTTAGTGGGGGATGTGGATTCCAGCTCTAAGAAAACTGTAGATCTCTCCATGTTTTGTGGACGTTGTGTAAGACTGAAGGTATCACATTGTTCTAGGAAAAAATAAAACTGATAAATCTGAAATGACTTGATGCATAACTTCTCATTTGTTTAGGAAATTGCACAAAATGACAGTGAGTACTTTTGTCAGACCTTAAAGGATTTAAGGATTTATTTATTTTTTCAGGAACTGCTGACAGCTTCATTTGAGACAACTATAATCAAATTTGTATCTGCTTATATTTTTACTTTGTGTATAGTGTTTTAATGTGACATTTATAAGGTAGAACTGTCAAGCTAATATAGTAGAGTACCAATATGTTGGGCGCCTCCTGGGTGTGTCCTGCTGGGAGACAAATGGGTAGACCCAGGACACGGTGGACGGGTTTTTATCTCTTGGTTGCCCTGTGAACACCCCAATGTTCCCCTTGATAACCCAGAGGAGCTGGCTGGACAGATGGAGCTCTGCATTTCTGTTTAGGCTGATGCCCCCGCAACCCGACCCTGGATAAGCAGAAGAAAATTCAGTACAGCTAAAAGTAGTTGGTGATTGCAGAAAAAATGCCGCAAAATTATACTTAAAGCATAGCTGAATTAGCTTGCAAATGACTACTAAGTCACTGGTAGACTGAGCAATGGTTAACATGGTTGGTATTCATTCACCAGTGACTGTTAGGTACACCTGTTCAACACTATTTCATCACGCCAAGTGCATGGCAGCTCAGTGTATTTAGTTATGTAGATGTTGTCAGTGAGCCCATGACATTTTAACTTGGCATCAGATAGGTATAGAAAGGTGAATTAAGTCACTTTGAATGTAGCATTTCAGTTAAAACTCAACATGCAACATTCAGATGCTAGGCCTGCCTCAGTTCTGGTTTGCAGGGGTGTTGTGATGGTGTGGGCATATTGTCTTGGTACACTCTGGGTCCATTTAAGCATTGTTTAAACACCACAGCCTACCTATTGTTGCTGACTGCGCCTATTTCTTTATGGCCACAGTGAACCCATCTTCTGATGGTAGCTTTC